CAAGACTATCGTTTTTCGACAATATTTGCAGTGTAACATGCAGATGCGGGGCCAATTTCTAATGGTTACTTCAATTTTAAACAACATGTAATCTAAGAATAATATTATTTTTAGTATGAATCTTGTAGAAATAGTTTCACCCGAAAGCTTTCCATGAGGACAGACATTGGAAACTTAAGGCGATCGCACGGCTGAAAGGACGCTGAAATGCCATGACTTGCGTCCTGTGAATCCGTCAACTTGTTTTATGACGTCTAAGGTAATGCCTCGCCTACCTTTTAGCGTAAAGTGTAAATGTGACGCATAACAAATGACTACCCGTTGCTTCAACGCTGAAGACGTAGGACGTGTTTTGGTAAACGTGTGATGTGTACTCTACTACTTAGCTTGGTAACTATGGCATTTTTTAGCAAGATGTCAACCACAAAACATGTGCTGTCAAAGCGGCGTCGATGGCCTGTCGCTAACTTCTCATTAAGTATCTGCAGCTTTCAAAGACGATCTGAGCGGGAGAAATGACGTCTGGTGTGTTTCTCATTTGGCTTGGATACAATATCTGCAACGTTCACGCTTCTTCAGGTGCAGTGTTGATATATCTGATTTCTTGTAAGAATTGTTCGTGCTCATTTAAACGTATCTGAACGACGCGATTTGGCGGACGATTCGAGGAGCCAATCGACTTGTGGCTAGCTTACTGTTCTCTGGTGTTTATTTTTTTTTTTTTGAGGGGGGGGGGATTGTATTAGATGGAAAGTACGTGTGCAAGTCGCACAGGTGCTGACTGGACGGAAATGATCGACTTTGAACCGTGAATGGGGCGGGGCTGTGGCACAGTAATTAGACAACGTTACGACACATGTTTGAAGGGCGGGAGTTATGCTAGTCTCTTTTAAACTGTCAAGGAAGTCTTAGCCGAGGTTTTCCCGTCCGTACCTCCGGCAGCGCTGATCACGTGGCTGTGTACTGGGGCGAATGTGAGCCTTCCGAGGATGAGTGGGCTGCATGTGCTGCGAAAGGCGAAGGCGAGAAAGTACTATGTCGAGGGTGTGGTGCAAGAGGTGAAGGTTAGGGCCATCGTGAAGGACGTCAAGATGTGAACCGTCGAGAAACGCGCAAAGATGGAGTGACGGTGAGCAGCATTGTAGAGTGAAATAGCGTGTCAGGGTCAGTGATAAAAATTTGTGCTTTCAAGATGGCGAGCATTTTTAAATGTGAAATATTTCTTAGCGAACTTCGACGACATGAAACGTATCTATCTATCTATCTATCTATCTATCTATCTATCTATCTATCTATCTATCTATCTATCTATCTATCTATCTATCTATCTATCTATCTATCTATCTATCTATCTATCTATTATCTATCTATCTATCTATCTATCTATCTATATCTATCTATCTATCTATTTATCTATCTATCTATCTATCTATCTATCTATCTATCTATCTATCTATCTATCTATCTCTATTCTGTCTGTCTGTCTGTCTGTCTGTCTGTCTGTCTGTCTGTCTGTCTGTCTGTCTGTCTGTCTGTCTGTCTAGCCACCTATGACTTTTAGCTTTCCTGGCCGTTTCGATAATGTTATCGATATCAAAATTGGTATGGCATAACATTCATGTACGACAAGCATCAGTGATTATTCATAACATCAAAATCATGACATGTCATAAATGTCGTGATTTACAACTCATGCTCTTGCTGCGCTTGCGGTGGTTTCGTTCACATGGCATATTGCATAACTGGTATGGTATAACATGACTGCATACGTAAGTGACAGACCCAAACGTGGAAATTTTACATGCGTGTCATGCAAGTGATGACTGCCCGCCATGCTCACGGTGTGCTCTCGATCGCTTCACTAGCTTCACATATACCGACTTTGGTGTTACAGGACGTGAATGCAATGCGAAGGTATTTAACTGGTGCAAACATGACAATTATGAGATGCACGTCACGAAATAACAAGAGCACATGCCGCGCTCATGATGCATTTGCTGCCGTTTTGCTAGCTTCACATATGCCAAATTTAGTATTACGTGACGTGAATGGACGACAAGGGTGAACACGTCAAAACATGATAATCGTGACATACGTGTCATGTAAAAATTCACAACATGGTACGCTCAAAGCGTACTCGTGGCCGTTTCGCCAGCTCCACATATACCAAATTTTGTGTTACGTGACCTGAATGTATTGATTGATTGATTGATATTTGGGGTTTAACGTCCCAAAACCACTATATGATTATGAGAGACGCCGTAGTGGAGGGCTCCGGAAATTTAGACCACCTGGGGTTCTTTAACGTGCACCCAAATCTGAGCACACGGGCCTACAACATTTCCGCCTGAATGTATCACAAAGGTATGCATGGTGCGAACATCATAATTATGAAATGCGTTGCATGAAAGAACAAGAGTACACGCCACGCTCATGACGCGTTCGAGGCATAGGCGCGGCAGCCGTGGCGAAAAAGAAGCACTAGCCACCCTTCCCCCCCCCCCCCCCACACACACACATACTGAAATAAGTCGCAGGACTGAGCACCCCCACTTTAGAGAGTGGTCCCCCTTGGCTGCACGCTGGGAAACGAACAACTAAGGCGAAGTTTTCCGTCACAACAGTAATCACTCAATTATGTTTTTACGAGAAAATGAAAATGTTACGAGGCATTGTTACAACGTAGTGAACTTTTGCCAAAATTTCTGCTGTAATGATTTTTTTGTAGGCTATTTCCGGCGCGGGTCACCTATGCGACGCTTCTGCCTCTTGTGCTGTAGCATTGCAGAGCAGGCGAGCGCTGAACAGGGGCCCTACAATACTACATCACGTGTTCATTCCTTTAAATGCGAAGCATTTCTTAGCGAACTTCGGCTATTTTAAGCATATCTATCTATCTATCTATCTATCTATCTATCTATCTATCTATCTATCTATCTATCTATCTATCTATCTATCTATCTATCTATCTATCTATCTATCTATCTGTCAGCAGCTTACGTTTGGGTGCTCTCGTGGTGGCCCCATTTACTTGGCGCGAACCAAAATCAGCTTGGGAGGGTAAGATAGTTTGACGACTACGATGCGTTTGTCAAGACATGAATAATGTCACAATGTCATGAATAACGTCACAAGCATCTTCACGATCATCAGCGCCTCACATCAGATTCTGGTGTTGGTAATACGCATGTTCCAGTTGGCATCGTTGCGCAAGTGTAAGCAACTGGTCTGCAAAGAGATGCAACTCTTCAGCATATGTGTGTGCGACATTTGTACATTGATTTGACGTGTCACTCAATAAAAAAATTGCAACATGATCACCTTTCTTCCGCATGCTTCGTATAACGTGGATTCCCAGGTACGTGGGATCTGCCAAATTTTATTCTGCTGCGACTTGTTCATTCAAGTACGAATGGGAACGAGCAAACATTTTAAAAATTGGTAAAAGCTTTTGCTGCCTCTGGAAAGTAATTTTATTCGAAAAGGGTATATCATCACCGCTGTTCTGTCAAAGCTTTTGCCAGCCAATGAGTGTGAGGAATCGTTTTGGATGTTTAAGTTTTCCGTACTGAAACGCCAAAATTGTTTCCGCTTTAGTCTCTGGTAAACATGATCAGCCTTGCTTGTGGTAACTTGGAGCCATAGCAGCAGCTTTCAAAGTGGCCAGGAATAAAGCTGCGAATTCAAGCTCAGTAGGAAGATCAGCTCCTAAGCTTGCCCCACAACTTGAGCCACCGGACAAAAAAGAAGGTGAGAGACTGTGGCCTTTAGCACTATAGAGGTTTTTTTAAGACTCAGGCTAGTCGGTTTTCACTCAACTTTAATGGTCTTTTACAGCTCAAAATACATCTAGTACAGCAAATAAGCACAGACGTACAGCGCTGCTTATTTCTCTCTATTCATTTTTCTATCACAAAGTATGAAATCACAGAGATGTATACGCACACAAACTACTAAAGACCGTTATGCTGCAAGTAGAAATATTTTATCGCACTAATAATCTATCTCACCACCTGCAATAAATAGGCGCTGCTTATGTGATTGGCAGCTAGCCTACTTGAAGTACAATTCGAAGGAGATGCTCCCCAGCTTCGTGACGTATTTTAACAAGCAGGCGATTTTTTGGCACACAGATACTTTTAAATGCTGAAGAACCAATGGCAAACATTATGGCGCACCAAAGAAATTTTCTCTTATTTTATTACGTGGTTGTTCATAAGTGGTAATTACGTGATGGATCACTTTCGCGTGAACTGTTGCCTCGTGTAACAAGCTGATCGATTCATTGATTTGTGGGGTTTAACGCACCAAAACCACGATATGATGAGAGATGCCGTAGGGGAAGGCTCCAGAAATTTTAATCACCTGGGGTTCTTTAACGTGCACCCAAATCTGAGCACACAGGCCAACAACATTTCCGCCTGGATGGAAAATAAAGCCGCCGCAACCGAGTTTCCATCCCGCGACCTGCGTGTCAGAAGCTGAGTACCTTATCCGCTAGACCACCGCGATGGCGCATGCTGAAATAGCAAATGCTGCACCTTTGCACTTGTAGATTACTATGAAAAAAGCAGCAACGGGTAAAGTTCACCTCTCCAAATGAAAGAATTTTATTACCCTAAAATAAAGGACTTTGCTATTTCGTTACAGAAATGCCAAGGACCGGCATCTACGTCACAGTGTCCTCCTACAGTGGATTCTGGAGCTATGGACACTTCGAGTTGAATTGGTTCGGTGTTCCCAAGGACCTTATAGGAGTCACATACGCAGTGCTAACGACGAAGAATCCTCCGAGAGGTTCGATAGACGTTTTGGCTGTAGTGCCTATTACACGACCTACGGATAGGTACATGACGAGTGCAAAAGCACCGACCTTTAACGTCAGCACTCTGATGAAAGGAGAATGTCTCGGCTATTGGGCCGTCGTAATTAACGACACGTATAAGTCATGGGAACCGGTCGTATTGTATTCTTCGTGCTTCACACCGAAGCCCAGGTGGATGCGGCAGAATTGTTGCACGCTCTCAACGCTCAGCCTTTTGGACCTGCTCATTCCTGGCACGCACAATTCTGGCATGTACCACCAGGGATACACACATCCGCACGAGGAGTACCTGTATAACCAGGACCAAACCGTCGAACAGCAGCTGGCATTCGGCATTCGCAGCCTTGATTTGAGAGTGCAGTATACTGGCGGTGTGTTTTACGTAACCCACGACAGAACAAGAGGGTGGCCCACCATCAAAAGGGTTCTCCGAGAAGTTCGCCAATTCGTGGAAGTGACTGGAGAACTTGTGCTTCTAGATTTCCACAGGTTCACGAAGGGTTTTGACGAAGGATACGATAACGTCACTGCGCGGCATATAGAGCTTGTGAAGTTGATCGTCACTGAGCTGAAAGGTGTTGTTCTCGAAAAGCAGGCCTATTTGACGAGTTTGAACGCAATATTTGACCAATGCGAAAACAAGACCAAACCGAGAGGTCACGTTATAGTGTTTTACAATTACGAAGGCTACACGGGAGAGTATAAAGAATTCTTATCGCCCGCAGTCCTTCACAAATGGCCCAACGCACAAAGCAAAGGCGCCCTCATGCGATATCTGGAAGAGCACGCATGCGTGTATTACAGTAGCAGCAATCTGGTTTCGATAATGGCAGAGCTCACGCCTTCCTTCCCGTCTCTTGTTATAGGAAACCGTCGTGCGGCGGAGTGGGTGAACCACGAAGTTACCGAGTTTTTTAGGCTAAAAGGGCAGGACTGCTCGGGCATCGTTGCCACGGATTACTTCTTAGGCAACGGAATGATTGAGGAAACCATTGAGGCTAACCTAGAAAAGGGGCGTGCGGGGTTATTTTTATATCGTTATAGACACCATGAGCACTGCCAATCAAATTGATACTACCGCTAAAAGTTTGCTCTAGCGAAGTTCGAAGCCGTTCTCAGCAGTAGAGGCCGCCAGGTTGTGCGTTGTTCATGGAACTTTGATACACGAAATTGGTCTTGTACACACGTGTGCATTATAGAGCGGCTGATTTTCATATTCTGCATGCTTCCCAATCTACGTCAAAAAAGTAAACGAGTATATTTTGTTCAAAGCTCGAATGGTCTCATTTTTGCCTCGTCTTCTCTGGTTTGCATCGGATTTCCTAACCGATAATTTGACGAATATAGCGTGACTACTCGATCCTCTCCCCTTTGGTACGGCCTGCCAAGTCGTCTCTTGAACAAAAAAGCAGGCTCTAAAGCAAACGTTGACAGGCAGGCCACCACCGGAGGAAAGGGCGCTGCATAGTAATCACCTTTGCACCTTCTTGCACTGTTGCGCGAAGGTGTAATACCACTCATTCTCCTTGTTTTGGGGCAGTCGTATTCTGCCATTGCGCGGTCAGCATGCGGTATCGTATTGTTCTTCCCTACTGTTAGGTCTAAAAGTACACACTCTTTGCCAAGAGGATGCTGAGTTCATTGCTTGCGAACAGGTTAGAGTTCCTATAGCAGCTCTCTATAAAACATACTAAGGCATTCTCGGAAGGCACTTTTCCGCAAAGCCCTCCGTTAGTGAAGTCTTGCAACATTTTTGAAGACTAATAAATGATGAACATGTGAGACGATTTAAGAAGTATACTGATAATGGTTCGGCTCGCATTCTACCAAGGTATATATGGCATCTGTTGTAAATCGGGACGTATATGTACGTCCCGATTTACAATAGATGCACTCAGTGTGCATTTAAAGTTAAAAAAACACATTATCTTCGGTTATTTAGTTGACCATGAATTTGAAGTCACTACGTTTTAATTATTCACAACTATATTATTTCAATGTTGAGTAGTCATACGAGCGATGGCAAGAGTAGGATCATCTGCTTCCTCCTTGCTTAAATCGGACCGCCAAATTCACCGCGTGCATCTAAAGGGGCACAAGTATTCAAAACCGTCTACCTCTGACAATTAATTTTTGGTCTTGTTAGCTGTCCACTACTGGCTTTGACATATTACCGCAAGCATATTAGACAAAGCTTCACTTCATGCACAACACCGGTCTAGCGGTGCGCATCTATAATACACAAGTAAAGTTCCCTTCTTACTTCTTTTTTTTATTTGTTCTTGTTGAGAGAAGCTAAGAAAAACTTAATTTCATGCTAGTCACAAAATCGTTGGCTCTTCTCCAATAGCGTTTTCGTCCGTCTGCCTATGTTAACAAATATACACATTGACACATTTCGTTCTGCTATGGTCGTTATTCCTGTGTAATTGTGGATTTTACTGCAGCCTGAATTAGCTCATCAAAGAAGTCTAAATCGCAGTGATTGTGTGATGTAAATACCGTAAAAATCTTCACTCTTAATAATAATAATAATAATAATAATAATAATAATAATAATAATAATAATAATAATAATAATAATAATAATAATATGATAATAATACTAATATTAATAATAATAATATTAATAATAATAAAGGGGTTTTACGTGCCAGGACCATGATATCATCATGAGAAACGCCGATGTGGAGTGCTTAAGAAATTTTCAAGCCAGCTGGTGCACTTTAACGTGCAATTGACATCTCATAGCACACGTAGTTCGCCTGCCGATGCCGTCATTGTCGTATTGCTTTCCCAAATATGTCTCACCCAGTCATCGGCCTCTATGACGCAGGTAAAGTGGCGGCAGGTTCTTCATGCGAGCTCCTCCAAGCATCACAAAGCACTGATTAGAAACACGAGAAACTGCCACCGCACATGGCTCACTCTGGCTGAAAGAAGCCTTGGAAAAATGGTTCATTGATATTAGGGATTTAACGTCCCAAAACCACAATATGATTATGAGAGAAGCCGTAGTGGAGGGCTCCGGAAATTTCGATCACCTGGGGTTCTTTAACGTGCACCCAAATCTGAGCACACGGGCCTACAACATTTCCGCCTCCATCGGAAATGCAGCCGCCACAGCCGGGATTTGATCCCGTGACCTTCGGGTCAGCAGCCGAGTACCTTATTCAGTAGACCAGCGTGGTGGGGCAGCTCTGGGAAAAACACAAAGTCGTTCTAAGAGAGAAAGGAAGAGAAAAGTGAGCCCCGTAACTGTTTGCTTCAGCGAGCGACACCTCAACAGTAGCTCACAAGGGTTGGGGTTGAGGAGGGATTAAACAGATAGGAATAAAGGTGTAGAGAGAGAGAAAGAGGCATGAAGTAAGCCCAGAGAGCGAAGACATATAGAGGGGATAGGAGAGATAGGAAAGATGGAAACACGGTCACAGGGGTTCGAGGACGGGGCACCACTTGCGAGAGCTCTTGTCGGCGTCAGGAGGTGACGTAGAGCAAGTCCAGTCGGTCAGAGCTTTACTGTCGTCGGAGGTAGGTCGGCGTCAGGAGATTACGTAGGGCGGGTTAGTCGGCCAGAGCTACGCTGACGTCGGAGATGCCGAGGGCACAACCGCTCGGCATGGAATCCTACGAGCGAGTCCCTGGGGGAAAAAACAGCTGCGTACGAATGCGACGGGTTCAAGGTGTTAAGATGGACGGGCGTCCCTTCGCAGTGGGGCGCCGGAGCCGAACAAAGCGAGCAGCCCCGTGCACCTTGCAGCAAGAAGAAAAGCGCGAAGTCGCGCTCTGCAGTTTCGTGCGAGGGGTCGAACACGGCTCAGAAGCACACCATTGTCACTGGTGTGGAGCTCAAATGTGACTCTTCGAGCCTCCGTTCCTCAATGACGGCCTCGACGCCGAGCGCCCAAATACGTGGGAGTGGGTTCTCGGACTGCGGCTGTGTGTCACAGACTGGCAGTATGTCTGCGCACGGATCCGCGCCAGCTGCCCAGACTCATGCCCTGGGGTAAGGGGCCAACTGGGCCTGCGGCCCCCAGTCGACACCGCGGGTGGTCATCGAGCTCCGAGAAGAGGCACTCGTCGCATGCAGTATGCTGAAGGCATGTTTCTGCGAAGGCACGATTTCGCGAGAATATTACAAGTGTGTGTGTGTGTGTGTGTGTGTGTGTGTGTGTGTGTGTGTGTGTGTGCGTGTGCGTGTGCGTGTGCGTGTGTGTGTGTGTGTGTGTGTGTGTGTGTGTGTGTGTGTGTGTGTGTGTGTGTGTGTGTGTGTGTGTGTGTGTGTGTGTGTGTGTGTGTGTGTGTGTGTGTGTGGACTTTGAGGGGAATAAAAACGCAAGCCGATGCCTTAGAGAAGAGATCTGGAAACAACTTTCAATCGGTACAATTGTTATTAACCCTCTTCTCTTCCTCTTTGGAACTTGAGTCCGGTTCTCTACAATAGCAGCTCTTCTGAAAGACTAGGTCTTCGATCCCCTGCCTGGACGTGGGGTAACCAGGGCAGTCGGCGGAGTCTCTAAAACTCAATAAAGGGGAACTATCACTCTTACAGGAGGAGAGTGATTCGGCGGACCAAATGAAACGGTGACATTGAGCGGTCAGGATTATAATAATAATTATAATCAATATTTGAAAGATTATGATTATTCCAGGTGCTATTATTCAATGCAGAGGCTTCTCAACAGGATTTCGAGCTTGTACAGGATCGAGTTTGCACGGAATAAGCCATATATTTGCTACAGGTTCTGGACTGTAATTTCGAGGCACTCTGCCCAAATAAACAAACAGGAATCGTACACCCCTAAGTGATGATGACTCATGAGATGGCATACAACACAAGATGTTCCATGTGGCATTGGCGCTCAGAATAAACCAAGGAATGCAATAACCCGGACAGCCATGGATCGTTTGTCGTACTTTGACTTTATCCCTGCTATATAAACAGACAGTTATACGAACTTTCCAGGCGTGCAACCGTCGCACCGGACTTCGTCGTCCAGGAAGCGTAGCAACGCGTCGAGCGACACCGACAGTGAGGCAACAGATTTGTATTCGGGCGGCTGTGAGTCATCGGATGATGACTTCACAATCGTCATGAATCGATCTACAAAACGAAGACTGCTGCGGACGGCATCGTCGGCAAGTGTTTCCACCGTTAAGACTGCACCACAGCGGTGGCCGCACACCATGCTGTTTATGCCTGAAGACCCTGCATCTAACTTGCGACTCCTCAACAGGCAAGTTCTTTCTGTGCTTCTCGAGGAAACCGCGCCGAATGAGATCAAAGACGTGAGGATCAATGCACAAAAGAATGCCCTTGCTGTAGACGTTATACACCGTAGCGCACTGCAAAGCCTTCGACACATAACAGAAATCGGCAACGTGAAAATTCGGCCAATGGTCGCTACAGGTTGTAATGACACTGTTGGCGTCATTTATGATGTGGATCTTTCCATCTGAGCTAATGACCTGCCAACACTAATAAAGCCAGCGACTGAAGGCACCCGCATTACGCACATTACCAGACTCGGCAACTCACGCGGCTTGAGGCTTGTGTTCGAGGGAGACAGCCTTCCCTCGTATGTCAAAGTTGGCCATGTTCGCCACGCAGTGAGTCCTTACATACCGAAGCCACTGCAATGCTACAAGTGCTTCAAGATGGGACACGTAAAAGGTGTCTGTGAAAACAAAGTTGTGTGTCCGCGGTGCGCTGAGTCTCACTCAAAAGACGCCTGCAGTGCCACCATACTACGATGTCCAAACTGCCACGGCGCTCATGAGGCCTCATCCAAAGATTGCCCGTGGGCGCGAAAGGAGCACGCGGTACTCAGGCGTATGGTGCGGGACAATTCAACGCGCAGGGAAGCTGCCGCTACACTACGCCGACGACGGCGTCGTGGGCGAAGACCATCACGGAAAAACGCCTCTGCCGATAGAGAGATGTCATCCTCTATCAAAGAGGCTGACCCACAAACACCGAGCTCACTGAAGACGGATACTGCCAAACAGAAGAAAGGGACAGCAGTCGCGCCTTCCGAACAGTGGCCCTCTCTTCCACGACGTCAACCTACTTCGGAGCTGCATCAAATCCCGCCGCCCTCGACGACCCCTCAAA